AAATATTATGAAGAGATTTTTGTTCTTTTTTTTAAATTAATATCACACTCATAATTTTCTTGTATACTTCAAATCATACTTTAAAAAATTATTGGATAGATAAAAATAAATTTTTATTATGTAATATAAAACTATTATAACTTTTAATTTCAATTAATCATCTTTAGATTTATTATATCTTATATAATGTTAAAGATAAGAGATTAATTAGAATAAATAACTATCATATTAATAATTAGTTTTAATTATTTTTAAGCTAAACAAAAATTAGGATAGATAAATTGAAATATATATTTTTTTAAATAGACACGATAGAGTATCTAACATCCACACATACATATATATATATATATATATATATATATATATATATATATATATATATATATATATTAAAAGTGTGATAGATAAATAATAAAGAAAAAGTGTAATACATATTAAAAAAAATATTTTACAAAGTAATTATTTTAAACCATTAATAATATAAAAATTAGACATGTATAAACATTACCGTCAGTATTTCTACTGGAATAATTATTAACAACTTTTCATATTTTTATATTTTTTTTATTGAACCGCTGTTTTTTAAAAGCTAAGAGTAAAATAATTAATAAAAAAAAACGAAAGTTGTGGTATTATTTTACTTTATTTTCATTTAAAGAAAACTCCACTTTATTATTTTATGTGCATTTTTATTAAGGGTTTCCTATAAATAATATTATTAATTATAAATATTATTTTAATATACTCTTTATGAAATAAAAATTTAAAATCAAAGAAAGATATTTTTAAAATTTTTCAAAATTAACATATATATACTTTATATCAAAATAATATTTTTATCGATAAAAGAATGAATTAAAAACTTTGGTTAAAGATATTATAGAGTACGATAGGGCAGGAAAACTTTTATAACCGTAGGCGAAAGTTGTACGGCACTCAGTATTTGTTTACACGTCCTCTACTGCCTCCATGAGTGACGGCGGCGGCTAATGACACCACGCCCTATCCATGCCGCCACCTCAGCTCCCTCCTCCTCACACGTGCCGCTACTGCCAACCGCTTCCATAGTATTTTTTCGCCATTTTCTTCTCCTCTTCTCAAAATATTCCTTTTTCACGGTGTTTTTCAGTCTTTTCTTCTATGACGTGGACGCATCCAACGATCAAATATATCCTGTAAAATGATTTATATTTTAAAATATGTCAAACAAAATTTATTAATATGATCTTATGTTAAATAAAGTTAACGAATTATTTTTTATTTAATAAAAATTAATTATTTTATTTATATAATTTATAAAATTTGATTTGAAAAAATAATATGTTATTTATTTATTTAAAATTAATTTATAATAAGACAAAATAAAATCATAAAAAATACATAATTTTATTTTATAAAATCATATAAAATGAGTTATTAAAATTATGTAAGAGTTACATTTATTTATATATAAGAAATCAAATATATTTTACTAAAAATATTATTTAATATATATTTTTTATTTTTTTCCACGTTATAAACTTTTAATTGAAAGTAATAAATTTAAAATTAGATTTAAAATCTTATTTATTCTATTCTTTCTTATTTAACGAAGATTATATTTAATAATGTATCTACTGTATATTAATGATCAAAATTTTATTAATTAAATAAGTTAGTCTTATTCTTCAAAACTTGAGAATACGAAGAGAGAAATCTAACATCGGATAAATTATATGTTACTGATTATATTTTCTGTTATAAAAAGAGTATTACGTTTACTTTGAAAATCACTATAAATATTTTTTTCTTTTTTTTATTAGTGCATTGTACAGTAGTTGAATTCTTTTATTTTTAAAAAAGAATATTATTATTATTTTCTCCTTATATTTAAAGAGTATATTATGCAATTATTGTGATTTCTAACAAAAACTTTCACCTTGTCATATTTTAAAAATACACTACATAACTTAACTTATGATTAGAGTTTATTATTCATTTTAAATTTTATATATATATATATATATATATATATATATATATATATAACAAAATATATTATCAAATTAATTTATTATACATATATTTTTTAATAAAATAATATTATTTTTATTTTTTTATAAAAATAAATAATATTTTATAAAATAAATTAGCCTATAAATTTACGAACTAGTTTGATTTAAACTTATTTATATTTATTTAGACTTCATCTAAATAAGTTAGGTCAAAATTAATTTGATTCTATTTAAGTCATAAATATTTTAACTTAAATTATTTTGACACGGGATGAGTTTAAAATAGTTTGGATTAAAAAAAAGATAAAAAAATTAGAGAATAAATTAAATTTTTTGCATCTATCTTCTCATCTAAGTCAATATACATCAGGCTTAAATTTAAGAATTAATTTATTTTATAAAATAATATTTTTAATAGAATAAAATAAATATTTATTTCATTAATATATATCTTTTTTTTATTTTTTTTTGTAATTTTTAAATAATTATTTTTTTAATAGTTTTTTTTATAAATCTTATATTATTTTATCAAAATAATAAAATGTTTATATAACATAATTATATCTGAAAAATAATATATTATAAAAATCCAAATTTCTTAATATTTTTATATTATTTATTAATTTATTAAATAATCCTTTCTTTAATTTAATTATTTAATGAATATACTGGTTAATTTTAGATGTTTTATAAAATAAATTATTCTAAGTAATGTATTTATTAAAAAAAATGAAATAATAATATAAAATTACGTTACCATTTTTAAATTATAAATATGGAGTTTAGAGAGTATTTTATTTGAAATTACAAATGTCCGTAGCTGTTTATTCTTTCTCTTTTTAATTATATGCAAAGACACTTATCCGTTTCATTTTAAGCGTTAATTTTTGGGAAAATAAATCGTCCATTATTTTTGTAAAGTTTAAAATCACACTTATTAATTTTTTTTCAATTGTATTTTTATGTGTTTTTTTATCTTCACAATTTACCCATGGATGGATGTAGAAAAAAGATTATGATATTTAATAATTTTTGAAAAAAAACTTAAAAAACATTTAAAAATTTGATGCGGTCTATCATATACACAATATGATGCTGTTTAAAAATTTTAATGTCGTCATATATTCCAACTTCATCATAGCAGTTGTGTGTTTCGGATAATAACTTAATTATGCAAAAAAAAAAAAACCCTTTAATCTAAAGCTTATTAAATTTCCGTTTAGTTTCACACACTTTCTTGTTTTTACATTTAAAATACAAATATAAATTTTAAATCACCTTTAAAAGTTTATAAAAATAAAATTGATTGTAAAATCTTATTATTAACTTTTTCTCTTATCCATCGATTTTGTTTCTAAAAAACAATTCCCTAAATTAAAAAGAGAAGAGATATATAAAATCATATCATTGTCGGTTTTAATTTTTTTTACTCCTAAACGATGGGCATTTCATTAACGTACTACAACCTGATCAATTAACAATATTTTTACCAAAATCATATTAACTAGTGAAGTAATTAATTTAAACATTTTTAAAGTATTACTAATATATTAAATTAATTATCATATTTTAAAAAATTTCTCACAATTTATAATATAAATACTTAAAATATTTAAACAAATAAAATAAATTTATATTATATTTAAATTATAAAATATCTTATAAAAAATAAATTTTATTTTAAAATATGTTTTAAATAAAATAATTTCAATTATATTTTAGTCCAGTCTACAAATTTATGCTAAATTTTATTGTTAGTTTAATTTTAGAAAAATAATATTTAATTATGATTTATATAAAGTTTAATAAAAATTAAACTCGTAATCTAAATATTAATGTTTTCATAAATAATGTGGTATTATTTAGTATTTCATATTGATAAAATTGTTTGTTGAAATAATATATTTCATTATTAATATAAATTATGATGTTGATATTTTTTTTGTCAAATAAAATATAAGCTAAAGCCCAACTACGTATATATTTTACATACATATATTTTTTTTCACAGAAATCCTTTTTCATGTAATTTCTTTTTGTTGTAATTATAGTATATATTATTATAAAAAAAAACTTTATTTTTCAAACTTTACTTTCTAAATAACTTTTGAATTTTGTTTATTTAAATAATCATTTACTACAATTTTGCGTCCTCCAAATAAATGAGGTGAACAAATTTTACAGATAAACTGCTTAATTGTATGATTAAATAAGTAAATTAACATTGAAAATTTTCATCAATGATTCCATTCATATTCATTTGAATAAATGACATTTTAAATAAAAAAGTTTGAATTGAGAATATAAATATTGTTAATTTGGATTTTGAAGTGATATATCTTAATTTTGAATTGTATTTCTACTCTATAATCTATAGTAATATATAAAAATATATTTTTTAACTGTTTTTAATGCTATAGTTTAATGAGTTATTTATTTTTCTATTAAATAAAATGATTTAATTATTTAATAAAGAAACAAAGTTGTATATTGCAGAGGAAGAAATCACTGCACATGAAAGGATGCATCTGGGAAAAAAAAACAAAGATATGAAAAAAATATAAACGTACAGTATATCTTATTGGTTTTGTTTACTTCTCTATTATTCTTGTTCCGTCTCACATGATAGTTGTGTGTAAAACATGATAAAATGAGGGTGAAGATGACGTTTGTAGAATAATTTTAAAATATATAAAATTGCACAGGTATATATATAGTCTCATTCATAAATAATTTAGTCAACATATAATAATTTGAAGGAGTTTAAGAAACAAACTTGAAAATAGGAAAAATGATATATCCACAAGTAAAGACAAGTAAAGAATGACAATGAAGACATGATTTTATTCGTCGAGTGTTTTTCACATGTGATATCACAGTAAAACAGCATAGGATAGGTAATTAAACAAATGTACGTCCCTCAGAGTTGGAAAATCTTCTAGGATCCTAGAGGCTTTTCTTAAATTAATCTGGTTCAAGGGAGGGATAATTGAAGTTTATTTTTCAATCTGCAATGAGCTCTATTTTGATGTTTCTGATCTTGACACGTCCTTTCCCATACCTAGGAACTATAGTCACCCTAACACTATCATCATCTTCCGCTTCCAACTCTTCTAACAAATCCGTAAGTCCCAGCCTCAAACAAGTAATGATATTCTTATTTTTGTGCATATGCGTATGAGGCACACTCACAAAGCTTCCTGCAAATTCCGTATTATCTGCTCGGATCTGCTTAACATCTTCGTCATTAATAAACACATCAAATTTCACTGGTGTGTTTCTGTCAAACTCAATCCCGTCAATCACCAAAACCTCTTCCTCCTCTTCCTTCGCCTTCTTGCTCCTCGACTTGTTTGGCCTTTCAACCGTTGTGCTCACAACTGAATCCAACACCAGTGGGAATTTCACATTCCTTGAAGTCTCAGCAGCATGTGCTGCACCAACACCAAAATTTTGTGCTAGTGCTACCTTCCGAGCTCTAACATTACGCGGTGTGGGCTTAGATTTTAACCATGGAATGTCAACATCTTGGTAAACATACCCTAGTTTTCTGGTGTCAAGGCAATCCTTGACCTTCACACGAACAAGGTTCTTATTCTCATCGTAGAAGAGAAACCCAGATTCTAACCAATCCGAGTCAGTGAAATCCCTTCTTTTCCCACCAAGTGTTTTCCATATGGACCACATCCTATCAATATTGGAATGGTGAGAATAGAAAATGGGGTCTCTTGCAGCAGAATAGAAAGTCCCCATGTCCTCAATGTTGGGCTGGTTGATATCACCGGTCCATAGATGAACAGGGCCATGGGGAACGTTCTCCACGGATCCACCACCTGGGTCAGGTTCATCCCCAGCACGATAAGGATTTCCAAGGAACAATTTAGGAGTTTTCCCGTTAGACACAACTTGCCTGTACATTATGGTTAGGTTGGAGGAGATATTTCCATCGGCATTAGGATCATCAAGGTCGAAGTCAAGGTCTACGAGTGTTGGTGGTTGATGATTAGCATTGCGAAGAGGGTCATAAAGAGGTGATTTAGGGTCTGCATAAATGGAAGGCAGTTGCATGCCCTTGGGAGTATCCCAGTTCCAAAACGGAAGGGCAAAGGTTGGGTCATTGATCAAGCTCCCCAAGATCCTTTCATAGAAATAGAGATACCATCGATGGAAGGGGAAGAAGAGCCAAGAGTTGTGCACTTGGAGATCAAGGTCAGGGAACCCAACTTGGTGATATGCACCATCACAATAAGCACAGTGAACGTTGGCTTGTTGTCTGAAATTACGTGGGTCGTTAGATGGGAGTTTTTTCATGAGATCAAGGGCTTTTCTGTATTTGGATAGATAGTCATCACTGACCAAATGTGCGGCTGGTCTCACCCTCAAGGGTTGGTTAGAGGGAGGGAACTGGAAATCAATGATTTTGGAAGATGGAGGGCAGCAATTTGTGGGTTTTACACCTCCAGGTAGGTCTGGTGGACCGCATGTGGATAGGTCTGGAGGGGATATTGGAGCTGCAAATGCAAAAGGATTGTTATTCAGAGTAACGGCACCACAAAGCCCTCCTAGGCCAAGTAGAACGTTCCTCCTGTGTCCTACAATATGGGGCAGTTCTTCTTCAGAAGGGTTTGGTGTTTGATTATTTTGATTTCCAACGCATGTCACTCTATGAACGTGATGGCGTTTTGGTTTTCTCATATTAGCCGATTGGAATGGTGAAAATGGATGCAAGGAAGAAGGGGGAGTGATGGAGTTGGGAGAGACATTATTGACTGAAGACACGAAAGAAAGATAAGATATGGAAGCCATTCTCTATCATAAAAAAACTAGACATTTTCAGCCATTTTATAATAAACTCACGAAGGAGATGCATAAAATATAAGTTGACATTTAGAACGGTGATTCAAAGTGGTGGTTGGTGATAGTTGAATTTAATAACAATACCATCGTGTGCAATTTGAGCTCTAGCTTCTACTGCTGTTTTCCGTCGGTTTGGGACTTCATTGATCGAGATTTCTTTGGCAACTATTTAAAATTCAAATATACATATTCAAATTACGAAGGTTTACACGCAATATCTAACTACATAATCGTGGAAAACTCTCGTGATAGAATAGTATGCATGCCTGAGTGAATATGTGAAAATATATTTTCCATGCATAAAAAACTCTTTTTTTCTACATTCTTTTTCCTTTTTATTACATCATCTTATCAGTTATATCTATAATATTGTTTATTTTCCATCATGATTGATTTGAGGAATATTTAATACATATAAAATGTTATCATATTTTAAAGCTAAAATATCCTTCTTTAATTATTTTAATTTATAACACAGTAATTACTTATAATAATCCCAAATAAAGATTTAACTAGAAATAACTATATTTGGAAACATTAATAGTTTTGAAATAAATATTTAAAATCGCAGTAGAGATATTTTTCCGGAGTTCTTCTTATGGACGTAAAAGAAAAATCCAAATGGGCGGCTTGAAGGATTTTATAGTCATGATATGAGTCCAGACTGATATATATGTGAAGCAATCTGTCTGTGAAATTTCGATTCACTCATAAAACAAAATAAATTTTAGATTATTAGGACAACATTGATAAAAAAATAAAAAATAAAAATTCATCAAAGTTAATTATTTTGGATTATTTTTTTTAATTTAACAGCTCAATTTCGGTTTCATAAATCAACCTATATATATTGAATCAAATTTATAATATATAATATTAAAATTAAAACATAAAATAATAAAAATAAGTTAATTAATTTTTTATCATTTAAAACATATATCAAATAAATTAAAAGTATAAATATTACAATTTTATATATATGATATTTTAATTATTGAACAATTATTTTATTATAACATATTTAATATTTTTATAATAAAAATATGATAAAAATAATTTAAATTAAATTATAAATATTAATTTAATATGATTTTATTTTTTTTAAATAAAAATTAACAATATATTTAAATTTTATATTTAATTTAGATGACTTTTTCACTGCATCTATCGTCAGGCATTTATATTGAACCCATTATCAAAGTTTGGCAAGTGGATTGACTTTGTGTGTAAATAAATTATCTTAAAAAATTTTGAATTTATAAGCATCTATCCTACCATTCCACATGATTCTTTTTAAAATAATTTGACATATGTACTTTCTATTTTGAAAAAGAAAAAATTTATATATATATATATATATATATATACTTCATCCACAGTTAAAGGATATGTCATCTCATTCATTGTTTTTTACCTATAAATAAGATAAATAAAAAAAGGTACTTAATGCAGTGGTTTCTATAACTTCAAATTTTCAAATTATTGTTTAAGTATTATAATTAAGGATAAAATGTTTTTTAGAATATATCATGTGATATATATATTGAATTTTTTTATTTTGAGTATAATAATTTATGTAAAAGTTTGAGTTTAATAATTTATGTAAAATTTTAAATACATTTATAAGCAGCTTTAGAATGGGTTCTTATTTTTCACTTTATGTAAATTTTATTATGTTATATTATTTTTAATCAATTCATATTAATTTTTTGAAATTTTTATTTCAATAGATAATTTTTATAAGTATTCATATTTTTATAATTTTTTTTATTTACGTTTAGCTTGACAACTTAAAAAATAAGTTAATTATTATAATTAAATACTAAATTAATATATTATTTAAATTCGAAATAATGATAAATATATAGAAGGCTTCAAACTTTTATAAATTTTTTTAAAATCTAATTTCTTTTAAAAAAATTATAAAATCAAAATTAATACTAAATTGATTTTACAGAAGTTTAAAAATGTTTAAATAAGTAGTATATATTATTATAGTATGATTTTGTAAATAAAATAAAAATAAAAATATTTCTATAATTGTTATTCTTGTTTAATATAGTCAACAATTTTTTAAGTTTATTTTATTTTAATAAATGTGATTTAAAAGGTTGATTATTGAGATAATTAAGAATATTTAGGTAAAAAATTTACTTTAAAATATATTTTTTATTTGTTTCTCAACTTTTTTTTTTTAAGTAATGATGCTTTGCCAAATAACTTTATTAAAATTTTAGGAACTTTCATATAATATAAATCAACTTCAATACAATTGTTTATAACATACACTCTCTTTCTTTTTTCTTTTTTTTTTTTAAATGAGTTAAACACAAGATGCTGTAACTGATTAGTTACATCTATAGAAATATACAAATATAGTTATATTTATTATATTAAAATAATTTCATTTTTTAAATTATTCTAAAATAAAAAATATATAACAAATTAATTCTTCACTAATTCTTTCTATATGACAATAACTACGTGAATGTTTAATAACAAATTTATTGAATATAATTAAAACTTAAAAAATTATAATTTTATATAAAAATGTTAATCTTATGTATTATACACATATTTTATGGAAAACATATTAGTTAATTTAATATTTTGCATATATATTTTCATGTTAACATCTATTAGTAATTTTATATAAGATTTATCATGTGATTAATTTTTTTATCAAATAAACATAAAATCGTACTTTTACCTAAGAAATCTCCTAAATGATTTCAATTTTATTATCATGTTATATCCTGTCTTTTTATTTTCTTTTTTAATTTCCATTAGATGTCATATATGATTTAATTTTGTTTTTTAAAGTTCAAACTACTCATATTTTAAGTATATAATGAACTTCTTAATTATAATGATCAATCATTATTTGATGTCTCAAATTATTTAATTATATCAGGTATGATTCAAGTAAATATATATTCACGGAAACTTAAAATGTTTACAGAGATATCTTTAGAAAAGAATTTGTATGAATTACATTTTTTTTTTCATTTTTTTTGTAGTTCACAATATTGTATATGATTAATAAGTAGTACTTTCAATAATGAAAATGAAACACGTTTCATTTTGTCTCAACGTCTTGATTAGAGTGAGTTGTTACGAGCACGTATATTAGTTTTCAAACAGAAACATCATTTTCAATTATGCTTATACGTAAAAACATAAAAGTTATTAAAAATCAGTAATAATTTTGTCTGTTTTCAATTTTATTTTAACATAAATATAATTTAATTAAATCTGATAAAAAAATTGTTTAAGTCAAAGTAAATAATCTTATTAAATCATTATAATTATTTCACCACAAGAAACTTATGTCTTCTACAATACTTACAAAGATTAAGCATTAATTAATGTAAACTGCTCCATCAGAAAAGTCTTTAGCATCAGCTGCATGTAACTGGTTTCAATACTTACATTTGTGTATTCAAATAAATTTAAATAAAAGCTAAAATTGTCTAAATGAACTCGTTGCATATTTTTTTCTCTTAATTCTCAAATTGAAATTTAAATTATAAAAAATCACTGTATAAAATGTTCTGTTTGATCCATTATCTATGTCAGGTTATTTTTTTCCTCGGTAGAATAATTACCATTTAAAAAAACTATTTTTAGCCATAAATGGTAATTTTCTATATTTATAGCCTGAGGAGACGTGTAAAATATACAAAGCAATTTGTTTGTAGTGTGGAGACATTGGAGGGTAGCATAAGTAAAGTTCAGAAATAGGAAAAGTCGTGAATCACCAAAAATTTAGAAAATGAAATTCAGAGAGCTTATTCTGGATTTTGTAGGAAAAATATATGACTATATTCTCTCTTTCTTTTTATATATATTATTAATCGATTTACTTTTGTATAAATTTTATTTATGTTTACGTTCATCATTCTTGCATGGTTTAAAATAGAAGTAAAAAATAGTTTAAATATATAAAAATATTTTTTAAGGATAAAATCATGAAATACTCTAAAATAAATATGATATTGAATCCTTTTCGTTCTTTAAACGGATATATATATTATAAAAATATACTTTGATTTTTATAAATGTATACATATTTCAAATATTAGGTTGGAGAATACAATAGAAGTAAGATAGATTTGAAGTTGGTGGTCCAGAAAATGAAGAGTGAGTCGTGCAAACATAGGGTTAGGGTTAGGGTTGGTATCCTAAAAAGCTTAGCTAACAAGGAAGAGTTGGTGGGGAGTTTTTTTCACAGCATATTATAAATATATTTAAACGTGTGTATTTATTTTTCTCATTTTGCTAAAGTCAAATTCATTTATTTATAGAAACAGCTAAAATTTTATTTATGTAAAAAAAATTGTATAATGTATTTTTATTGGGATGCTAAAACAATTATAATTTTGATGTAGTAACTTATTAGTTTACCTTCAATTATCTGATCAAACTGGTTGGTTTATACTATCAACTTGTTTTTATATGATAGATAACAATTTGTAACAAGATAAGTTAACTCATTGATGTACTTATAATATTTACATATTAAAATTAAAATAAAATAAATTTTAAAAATAATATATATAAAGAAAAAATAATAAATATTTAATCTTTTAATTATTTGACTAAATATGATGTCTCTATAAATACAAAATCAATTTCAAACATAATTTTAAGATTAACAAATATTTAAATTGCATAAATAATAATAAATAATATTCCTAACAAAATAAAGTTAATCCTCCTGTGTGAAATGGTAATGTAAATATCTAAGATGATGTTGATGATACATAAACAAGGGTGCAGATAGATGATCAATCAAACTAAATTAAAGAGAAAATTATTATTTGTTTCCGTCAAATTTTAAAACTATGCATTTGACAATGCGGTTCAGTATTTAATGTCGCATATGAAATTCAAAACAACCTATGACTTTTCAGTTCAGTCATTAGTTTTCTTTAATTGTATATTTT